GCTTTAAGTAACCGCCTCAGGCTCTCGCGATTAGGTTGCGACAGCTGCTCCAATAAAAGTGTCCTGACCTCCTCTGCGATGGACGCCTGACATTGTAATGATAATTTTTGTGCCCTTTGATACCTGCTCAGACAACTGCATCGGGACCGCGGGTGCTTGCTCGGCCACCAATCATCCATGCCGCGAGCTGCCCGGTATAAACCGATATTGGACCCGATAAGTGATCGCGGCGCATCCTGTAAGCGCCCCCGATAGTTGATCCGATTAGCATGCTTGTGAGTCCTGGGAAGATTGAAAAATCTTTTGCATTGTCTTTCATGACAATGACTTTAGTGCAAATTGAGCAACTTGTTAGCTCATCTGCCGACATCTTCTAATGTCGACGATAACACCCATCCGACTGCCGAAGTTTGTTTCGTAAGCATAAAAACTTAACTGTCAGACAGGACCAAACAAGAGAAACGATTACCCAGTTTCACAAACGTTTAGGGTAGCCCCATTGCTGCGTCGTACCTCACGCGGATTACGCCTTAACCTACAGTGTGTAAGAAATCCAGCCTTTGATAAGACCCGCGGCCCGCCAACTGAGGTGATTGGGCCGCGACTCTCCCGATAACCTCTTCCCAATTTCAGCTTTGGCCGCGGCGTTCCCGGTAAAATTTACATGGCCGCGGCGTGCGCGGCTGAAATTTCAAGGGCCGCGGCGCGCCATGTAACACGCTTTGAGGCCGCGAACTTTCCGATGCAATTGTCTGAGTACGCACAAAAACCTTGTTTTCGGTTATACTTTGGCCTTATTTTAGCCCCTTTATCAAATGATGACCGTCGCTCATCTCATCGCTTAGGCAGATTTTCTTTAGTGAATCAGTTTCGCATGCATCTAGATGCACTGCCTTGCCCTTTTTCCACTGCTGCCTACCACCGAGACTCTAGTACTGAAAGAGCGATTGTATTGTTTTAGTTCTTGACTTTCTATACCATTTTGTTTCGTATAGTTTATTGGTTGAACGGCAGCAAACGTTCAGAAAATAAAAGTCAATCTTCGCTGGGGACTTTGGAAAAGTAAATTGACTAATTGGCTGTCTAGCAGTGAATCGGCCATTTCATTTTTTCGAATCACACAATGGAACAACTTGTATAGCGACAATATAACGGTGGCTTGCAAGCGTGGTACTGCGGCTCCAACTTCAAGCATAAAAGCTTGTGCACAGCCACAGTCATTTCATAAAAAATTGCTTGCTCTACTTTTTTACTCAAAGACAGAAATCTTTCCATGTGCAAATTTGTCCTTATTGAGCGCAGAACCACCAAATTTGTTGGATTTTATTTGCCTATATGTTGTAGAGTAGCCGTAAGTTCAATACAGATAATGTAATGTAAATACTTAGTGCTGCCCAGAATCGTGCTTGTCTCAAACGTCAGTGCACATGTATACCATGCTTGCTTGCTCCGAGGCTTTCCACCCAACCGGACGCAGCTCACTTGCCCAATTTCTGATAGCTTTTTATCAAACATGAGCTGTCCGTTTATTAAACACGTTCCTCAATCTATTAACGACAATACGACCCACCGATGGTCGTTAGATTCCTGAAACTCCAGCTTTGCCAGTTCATGATAAAATTCTACGGAATACTGGCACATGGTTGTGGACACCTAAACGAAGCTCTAGCCAGAGTGGCCCCAGCTCGAGATACTATAGTGTGATGTTACGGTAGGTGTACCGTGAATAAAGATAAGGCACAGACTTTAGCTCAAATATTCCCCACAATGATGCTGTTTCTTTACACTTAAGTGCATATTCACAGGCAATACGAGACTGGCAAGAAACTGATGCTAGCCCGTCAAAAATTATTGACTTTATTGATTTTTTCGTTATTCATCGTAGCTTAAATCTTACTACATACTAGGTTGTCCCGAAAATTTTGTCGGTTTCTTCAGACCACTATAAAACCACGAACGATGAAGACCTGAATGAATTCAACAGCATTCAATGCGGCTTTTCTTTCTATTTCTTCTGGTTGCATTTTCGAACCGCACTCCTGTATGTTCTTTCTAATAATTGCTAAAAATTTTTATCCGCCTTTTTTTATCTGCTCAAAGATCGGCTAATTTTTAAAAGACTCATTTCAAAGTTTCGGGAACGGTTAAGTATGGCACAAATAAAGCAATTCTCGAACTGTGTGGTAATATTGTTAGATTCTTCCAATCTTCTGTTTTTAGCTTTAAAAGGTCATTTCTTCTAAGGTTTCAAAAAGTTATTAAACACGCAACTGCAGCAAAAACATGGAAGCTTTTGATGTTTTTGCAATTGGTACTTGTTTGTTATTAAACATTATTCAGGCAACCTATCCATGTTTGATCTGCTTCGAAAAATCACTTTCTGGAGTTTTCCGTACTTTTACGTGTTAAACGTAATCAAAATGTTGTTTTTCTTAAACAAATAATTATTCAGGCTTAATAAACGTGCCCCATGTAATCTAAGATGTACACGATGTAGCCAAAGATCTGCTACATAAAATTTACCAGTGCTGTTTAGAAATATCAAAATAAAAATTTTCAAAATTCAGGAGGTTGACGTTACTGTAAAGCTGCTCGAAAAGCTATGACGAAACATCGCAAAGACAGAGTAGATCAGTGAGCAAATATAGCTATGAGAAAGGGCATGAAAATTTTAATCAAACGGTACCTAGATCGTCTATGGATTTGTGTTCTGTGAGTTTTAGTGTGCGATGAAAAACCGACAAAACTTTCGGGACAACCTAATATATAGGTTTCAAAGCATGCTGATTACGAAAATGATAACCTCAAGCTCCGATTCAGCCTTCTTACAAAAGTTTATTTTTACGAAAATTTTACCGTGCTGCTATTGTAGCCCCACCATGAGACAGCAGTAAACAGATTGGACACTATGATCGTGACCAGCACGTGAAATAACCCCAGACAATTTTTCATGCAAATCCATGATGTTGTGTTCGTACAGAATGACTACCGTAACCTTACCGTATACCGCCAAAAACTGAAAAAATCATATTTTGATAATTAGCGTCTGCGATAACCCTTCTGGGGAAAATTCTTGGAAACTTGCTTCCAAATTTTCTAAAACCACTACCACTTTAGACAATACGGGGGTGGTGCAGGAGGAGCCAGAAGGCCGTTTGTATCCGCAGGAGATAATCAAGAGCGCGAGCGCTGTGGAGAATTCTTGGCAATCCAGGAAAATCCAGCAAGGATGTACTTTGAGAACAAACTTTTGTAACTTTGCTAGAAATAACTTTGAAGTTTTTGAAAATCAGAGTTGTAATAGGATCAGTAGGGCGCATTCATTAAGCGTGAAAGTAAGTCAAAATTCGGAACTGTAGTTGTAGGATTTATTGACTTCCTTTTATAAAGTGATCGTCTGATGAAAGATTTCAGTTCGCCTTTCTGATCAAATTGCAGTCAATGTTGTAGAAAAATTTTTAGGCTTGTAGGAAGTTGCAAGACGCAGTTGTCTCTTGACTTTAAACTTGCCCAAATTTCGAGACTTTTGTGAGTTTTTATATGCTTGGATAATGAATGTGTCGTTGGTACTTTCAAGATGTATATAAGAGAAAAATCATCACGATCCAATCAAGGCTGGAACTTCAACCTCCTATTAACACCACTTTCAATTTCGACAGCCATTCTCACCGGAAAATTTGATCAAACTTTTAATCACTGAAACTGAATTTTATCAGTATTCTGGGATTGCGAAGGCCTTCAGTTCATTTTTGAATTTCTTTTGTAAAAGTTAGGTTAGAAGAGCAGGATAGGGTTGCTTATCTACCGCAAGGCGTGCACTGAAAAGTGCGTCTTTCAGTGTTGATTCCAATTCTTTTCTTCATATCTTACAAAGTTATTTCCAAGCAGACTTATAAGGGTTTGTTTTCGAAGGTTATCCTTGCCAAGTTCTTCTGAATCTTTGCCAAGATCTTCTCCACGCGAGGTAATTAAGAGCGCTCGCGCTCTTAATTATCTCGCGAATAAAGACCGCAGCCCTTGGGTTCCTATTGCACCTCATCTCTCCTCACCTCCTGCATCTGGACAATACGACCCAAGGGTGAGTCGTAAATTTGACAAAGCTAAAAAGGCTCTGGTCCGAAACGGCTATTCGAAAAAAAACGGTCTTGTCGTGAATGTGTTAAGACTGCCGTTGTAGTAAACACCAATAAGGGAAAAACCTCTTTATAGCAGGGTACCTTTCACTATCAAATGCTCACGACATACTCGCTACGCCACGGACATCCGAATCTACTCAGACGTTTGAGAGCCACCAATGCACTGACATTATTGCAATTAGATACTGTTACTGTTCATTGATTTTTTCAACCGACATTTTACAGAGCGACGAACGCTGAGAGAGCGCAAAGAGAAAGTTACAGTAGTACCAAGCTCGGAAACCTATCAATGAATGATGATTTTATAATAAACCAATGCGTCACCTCCGCTTCGCAGAGGCTCGCACTGGTCATTATCTGTATGCCTTACTCATTCCCGCAAGTGACAATGATACTTACCGCGCTGTCAGCAGCTTTATCGTGTAAAAATCCACGACTTTTCTTTGGTGTAACTGCGGAATGCCTATTTCCGGATATTACGAAGTCATACCACATTCCTTGAGCAGTACTTAAATGCACGTTGAAAACAAAATTTCAAAAAACTTTGCGCTTTCTTCACACTTGTGAAGAAGAGTCGCACGAATTTTATACAATGTATTGCGAAGAAGGATCCGGAGGAGCTTATAAATGCAGAATTTTAAGACCCGTTTTCGTAAAATGCCAAAGTATTTACATTTTAGAATTATGTTAAAAATACCAGAAAAACCTGAGAATCAGCCAGCTTTTCCACATTTACTATTATCATTTCATTACCATTTCCACTTTGCTTCAGCTGAAAATATGCTATCCCTTCCGAATTCTTTACGAAATCGATATCTTGAACATAGTAATTTTTTGAAAAAAATTTTCTTTGGAAAACATATGATCAACACTGATTCATTACATAGTCATGACATAAACAGCGCGTTATTGATGATGAGATCATGTAACATTGGGATGATAGTGTCGAGAAGGTATGATGGCAACGACAGTTCCGCAATGACGGCTACACAAGGACCAGATCACGCTACACAATAAAGATCACGCTAGATTAAGTTAGGTGTGACACGTCAGATTGTAAAAGGACAGAGCGAGCGATCGATTGCGATTTTTACTCCAAATAGAAAATATTCGGAAAACCAGGAGGGAGAACAGTCTGGTTACATATGCCAACTTCGACTTCTACATCATTGCGGTAATGCTTTCAGTAGCGAGTTCACTTCCTGTGCCACACAACCGTAGATTAGCTTGAATTGATCTGCTGTGCGAACAAGTCCTGGAAAAAGGGGGAATTTTTGCAGAAACACCACTTCGTAGTTTTTTGTCACTCACCATCTCGCTGATCACGAAGATGTTCGACGGAAGCTACAACATCCAGTTGACGTACACCTTTTAGCAATCGTGCACAAAGCATGTCTACTGCACAGAAGACACCCGTTCGTCCAGCACCCTCCCATGAATGCACCAATACAGGTGATGCTCGTCCACGATATGATTTGTTCACTTTTCTAAGATACAGAGTATACATATCAGTGTTCTTGCTGTGTCGTACAAGATTCTACGTAAACAGTAGCTAGAGGGCCGGGCTTATTTCACGCGATTTCAGTCGCGACGCGATTTGGCAATTCGCCAGAAGTCTTCATATCCAACAGTAGCAAACTGCACATGCACAGTGTGTAGAAGTTTCGTGGTTTGATAAAAATGCCCTATCTTCTGTCATTTAAAATGTGCTTACTGAGTGTTATGGACAGTTGGAGTACTGCCAAATCGCGTCGCGACTGAGATCGCATGAAGTATGCCTGCCCTTGAATGGACTTAGTCGATCCTAAGATACTGGCTTATGCTTTCTTTAAATGTAAGGGAAGCTTTCTTTCAGCATGAAAAGGCACGCAAAGAGGTTGCAAGCGTCACATTTCCTGCGCAGTGACTCATTTATGTTATGTATATCCAGAGATTGAGCTAAAAATTCGCTATGTAGATGTCATATGAGACTACTGTTTGGTAAACTTTGTAGGATCGATCATTATTAATGCAGTGCAAGCAGAAAAGGTGTTATATTATACTCATCTGCTTACCGTCTGAATTCCAGCAGACTCTTTGGGCTAGCCGGAGTTTCGCCTTGTTTCCATGACATGTAGTGGAACTGTGTGATGGTTCGTGTCTGTCCATTGCGCAGATTCTTCAGGTAGAAGGAACGCACGAGGTAATCATCGCTCCAGATGTGCTCAGACACAAGATGAATCTTAGATGGTTATGAAATTTACGCTGTTGAAGAGGGAAGAGGAGAGATTCCTACCTCGAATGGACCGTGAACTTCAGCGCCAGATTCGGGCCAGTAGCTCTTCTCCTGTTTTCCTTCCTCGATAGTTGACAGATTTACAATCAAACATACACCATGTTGCCAAATAGCTTGCCAGAACGCTGCAATGTCCTCAGCTTTTGGTGTTTGTGCCGCGATGTAGACTGGCTGGCTGAAAAACAAACATGTAGTTTCCAAATCTAAACTGCACAAATAAACAGAAAAAATTTGTAATGAACTATAAAGAGAGATGAACTCTAGTGTACTATAGTTAGATGTATGTAATACTTGCCGACAACACTTAAGCATAAAAAAAACGCCACAGGGCACACATTTTCTCTTTTGCGGGTCATGGTCTTTTCCCGCGCAAGTGTTGTCGGCACCGCAGAAAACACATCAATCGTCCTAACGGTTTGAATGAATGCACGCATGTTCACCGATATAATCGACATCAAAACTTGATTTCTTAAATAATCTTCTTTCTCTTTTCTCCCATCCCCGCCCTCCCCCCCCCCCCCTTTTTTTCCTTTTTCCTCCTCACATTCGTTGCAAAACGATTATGCTTTCTTTAGGAAATAATTTATCTTTAATAGGCGAATTAAGAATCAATAAATTGTTGATTGGTACCTTTATAGCTGAGTACCAAAGTCTTAGGCTCTAAAAACCAAATTCAAATCCGCAACCATTTTCTTCCCCCCCCCTCTTTTCTCTTCCAATCAATCTTGGCAAAAATGCTTACCGTGGATCATCGTCGTAAATGAAGCTGGCATTCAAGTATTCCTTTTTGCCTTCCTCCCATGAGTCAACTGGCACAAGGCTTTCGTCGACTAAAGAATACATATTTTTCAACGATAAGACTTTTCTGTAAATAAACTTACATGGCACAACGCTTCTATTACGGTTTGGATGTTCAGTGCCAATCGTTGTATGCTTGTCAGTGTTACGGTAATCACGAATCGCATCCCATTGTGCTTCGATTTTTGTTGGATCAGCAAGACATTCTTGCAAGAAGTTCTGGAAAAATCATAAATCAATCGGTTTAGATAAGTGCAAAGCTCTAGTGGAACAAACCAGAATCACATGACCAGTAGAGATATCAATGCCAGATTGTTGAATTGCTTCCTCGCCCCAGCTTGATGTGGATGAGCTCTTGCTTGCTCGTCCAGATCCGGGTGGATCTTGCGCGATTCGTTGACGACAGAGTTCCTAAAAATATTCAAAATAACTTCTATTCAATTTTTTGTGAAAAATGATACCGTACCTGATATGCAAGGCTGCTCTTTCCTTCAATATCGTCAATATTTTGGATATTGTTGTTGTAGTAATGGCGACGTTGCTTGACCAGATGAACCTAAAATGGGAATTCACTTTTATTTATGGAGGAAACTCGTCCACAAACTGACTTACCGCAAGCACGGAGAGAAGAGCGGTGATCGTAAATGCACATACGAATAAAACTGGCATGAACATCCAGTCACGAGCGGATGACTCGACGGGGACTGAGTCCTAGAAAATTTGGAAGTATCTTTTGCAAAGGACGAGTTAATCTACAAAGCCTTCGAGATCCTTCCTTTCTCCGCTAACTCCACCAATTCAAATGCGAAATATTCCCAAATAAGTTACTAACTACATCACTTCGAAGTACGGGAAAACTCAGCTTCTATCACTTTGGCAATAGATTTCAAAAAACGTGTTTCCCTAACTTTTTTAGCACAGTTTAACCATTTTGGAGAAAGTACGTTGGAGTTTTTAATATAATTCAAAAATAAAATGCCCACCTCTCCAATGCCGATACCAGTTTCATCAACTTCTGCGCCTGAGAACCTTGCGATGTCCTTTCGTCGCTTATCTGCAATTATTGAATTGAGACCACTTGTTTGATTGACAAATATATTATTTGACGAATATTGTTAAATTTTATAATAGAGTCAATTTTTGTACTCCAAAACCTTTCGAATAAATCAATATTATCGTGTTTTTTTTTGAAATTCTAAGCAGTAGAACTGTCCCAGTCGCACGCTTCAATTATAACGATTTTTACAAAAAGTCTTACAATCAAATTTGAGCTTCCAACATCTAATTTTTTTGGAGCTATGGTGTTCAGAAGGAAACGTTTTCGGAAATCAAAATGGCTTTTTTTGCCGTACATATAATAACGGGACTACAGATAAGTCATCTCCTATATTTTATATTTCATTTTGACTTGGATTTTTCATTTAATGTTATTTTTATTCTATGGTCGTTTATGATCTATTTTCCCGATAATGTGTCTAACTAAAAAACCATATTTTCTTTATAGAATTAGGTCAATTCAACTTACAAACAGCTTGCGCAACACCTTCAACAGTATCGATGCGCTTTTCCGCTTTTGGCTTTTGGCTTTCTAGTCGGCTGATACGCATTGATAGCTGATTGTCGTCAAATCTAGAATTATTGATTTTGAAAAAACTGCGATGAAATCATTGATATGACTTACTGGAAGTCATCGAACAACAAGTTGTTCGGTGTAGCGATCTTGTTTTGCAGGAACTCGACAAGCGGGTACAGTTGCTGCTCATCTTTGATATTGACCTAAAATGTGAATTTTCCGTGGTAGGTGAGGGTTTTCCACGTTCAGACTTACTTTTAGGTAAACCCTATTACCAACTACTCTTGCAACGCCGTTGGAATTTCGTCCTTTGACAATCTTGTGCTCTACATTTTCGAGCCCTGCAAATCCTTCAAATTGAACAGAATGAATATTTAAACGAAAACGAACACGACTACAATAATTTGGGCCGTTCAACTTGTATCCCCAGAAGAATAACTGATAATCTTTTTTTTACAAAACTTAGACATGATTTCTCGAGTTTTAGTAAACTTTATATTTAAATACACATTTATTTCCTGAAATTTTCAATATTTCTTCGCATGAACAAAGTTTGTGCCTCTACATACTTTGTAGAAAGTATTTCAGTAGAGTTTATTATGAACAGCTTCTATTCCTCTTTGAAGATTATTGATATCTTCCTCCCTTTCCGTACCCAGCAGCTTCGGACAGAATTATTAGTTTATGTAATTATTGGCTCCACGCAATGTTGGATATTTTTGGATCTGTTTATGAGATTTTCTGAAGCAGTCTGCTGGTATGTAATTCATTTTCGGGCAAAAATTGCAATAATGTCTGGTGAGAAGAGTTTTCGGTCTGAATTATGATAAAATAAGATTTTCAGCCCAAAATAAAGTAAGAAAGAGCCGAGACCAACAATCGCGATTTGTTCGTTCTGGTAAAATCTGCTACTTTCCAGCCTAGGAGACCGGGAGAGGAGGAGAAAGAAATTTGAATTTTCTAGAAAAGTCTAAGCTTTGCTTTTGCCACATCTTATATGTCCTAGATCTCTCTCACTTCCCCCCCCCCCTCTCCCTTCAGTGCAGAGACAAGAAAACCAAAGCATTTTCCTACATGAAGCTAATTTCGCTTTCCATCATACAAATCGTATATTTTCCGTATCTCTGACGTCGCCAGGCTACATCTAGGCAACGGCCGCTTTTTATAAAACCTTAAGATGCTCAGAGCGGATTTTAAAGGAAGGGAAAAACAGGCTGAGGAGACGAGGCAGCTTTAAGTACACCATCGACTATATGTAAACATCACACGAAAAGAATACGTAATACGAATTGCGGATTAAGTGACGTCAATGAGCCGCGGCTAAGCTATATACGCTTTTTCAAATAAGAGATTAGCAAATGGAGCAAAGTATAATTATATTCTTGATGTCATCTACCATTTCTTCTCAAAGCTAAGAAGGGGCTACGGTAGGCATGAGAAGTCAATGGACTTTTTAGTGAAGGATTTTGTTGCAGTGGATGCAAAAGTAGGTCAAAAATCATAGGTACCAGCTATTTTATAACCATTGTCATGATAGAAAAATTGCTGAAAATGTCGATAAAAATTATTTTTATTTGCAATTCAAAGTTATATCCGACGTTCTACCCAATCAAATGCAGGAAAAAGTTAAAAAATTGTGATTCCGGCTGGTGTGAAAAGAAATAAAATTATTTTTTTTGCAATTGCCGTTATCCAACGCTCTAGTTAAATCAAATGCAGCAAAAAAATGAGAATTCATGATTCCAGCTGTTCTACATCTGATAAATTATTTCCAAGAACACTAGAATTCTGAAACTCGAAAAAAAGCGTGATTTTCCTTTCAAAAACCATTATCGTTAACGCTTTACCTGGACCAGATGCAATTAAAAAGTATATTCGTTTATTAGTTTATTGGTTTTCGTTTAGTAGTTAATTGGTAGTCGTAGGAAAAACCTTTCAGAAGATTTCTGTTGCTTATCCTATGGTTAGAATACAAAATAAAAAAATGCGGTGTAAGAAACCGCAGTTGCACTATGTGCAGCGGGTTTGAGCAAAACTATAGTAACTTGAGACAAAATTATGACCTATTCGAAGCAAATTTGATCTTTTTAGTGAAAAAGAATGCCGGTAATATACTGTAAAAAATACGCACTCTTTTTATCCCTAAAAAAGCAGGAGAAAAAGCAATTACCAAAATTTACATATTTTTCCATTTTTTCCAACGACCTTCGGTTCATCTTTCCGTTGAGATTGCAGGTTTTTCAAAGTAGAATTTGTGTTATTGTTTCGTTTATTCGAACTCTTTTAGCATTAGCTGTGTTCATTGTGAACTAGTGAACTAATTACTCCTCCTTCCTCCGCCCGCTCCCCCCCCCCCAGGGCAAATTCTCTTGGTCCCATAGCGCAGCTATTTGAAAGAAACCCCTTGTTGATTATAAGCATCAAATGTTCATAAGGTCTTTGATGCGCTGCAAGCATAATGGGTGATTTGCCATAACTTATTTATTTGCTGCTGCAGAATTCTCTAGTATGTTATTCGCTCTATAAAAAACATCTGTAATGCGTAATACGTGCATATTTTATGATGTAGATATACGTGATTGCACAGTTTGCAACTTTGCAAAGCAATTAATGTGGACATATAACCCTCTGCACATACAAAGGCTGAATTGTGGTACTATGTAGTGTGCGCTGTGCAACTACACAAACGCACAATACGACTCAACGTAAGGTACTTTACTATTGTTATTTACCCTTACATCAATTTTGTCCGAATTCAAAATTGATGCTCCCCTCAAACTGTACAGCATTGTTAATACCACCCCCCCCCCCCTCCCCCTCTAGTAACTCATTATTTAGAGCGTATGTGTATAATCACCAACTAATCATAGAAAACAACGCTGGCTAGGTCTGAACAACAAATTTGGGTACGGGTAACTGCAGGGGAAGCTTGTGCATAATTTCGTATAGTGAATTGTGTTGTTGACCGTTCTTGTTTACTGATTATAATCAATCAAAGCCGGCTAAAGGAGGGATGAGAACAATTTTGATTATTTTGAAGGGAAATGCCGCCGATAAACGCTTAGAAATGCTAAATAGCAACATTTGCATCCAGTGAAAATAAATATGACTAAAATGTTAGCAGAAATTTTTATACTTGAGTGAACATTTCTTTGTCTTCTTAGGTAGTTCATAAATTTTACTGTTTCAACTTCATCTCAAAATGTTGACTCTTCTTAAAAAATTGGGTGGTCCTTGTTAAGCGGAACGGTTGTGGGAGAGGACCGTGAGTCCCACATCGAAAATTTGACATCACTAATTGAGGCTGCCTCGTTATGTCATTATGTCATACATTATGAGCGATTCCCACCTGTGCGAAGATCACCAAGTTCTTCGGCATCCTTTTTCAGGACCAACTTCTCATCAGCCAAAGCATCCAAAGGTATGGCTTCTTCGGCTTCTCCTGCAAAAAATTATTGATTGGATTTTAGTTGATCATTCAGGATTCTTAATGATCTTTAATAGTGTGTCCCAGAAATCTGAGTGTTCAGCTTATTTTTCGAAATTTGTTCTTAAGATAACTTTACAATTTTCCAACCATCTTCTCCTTCATTGGTTGATTTTTTTATTATTGATTTTTGGTTCATATTCCCTTGACGACGTGACTTCAAGCACAGTGAAATCGATTACTTCAAAAATGATGGGACATTTTCTATAGAAAAATTCTTGAAATACTGAATTTCTGTGCAATTTTATGTTCTATTCTGCTTTCGCAACTTAAAGTTGAACGATACAAATAGAGTTATAGTTTTTTTGCATAGAACGAATTTCCATACTCGATTTTTTGCCATGATCTTTCTCCCTTTACATTTTGCTCCTTCCACAATAATTATGTAATTCAAAAAATAGCACTAGCATTGAGAAGAAATTCAAAAAATAGCACTAGCATTGAATAAAAAGTCAGGAAGTTGCCTTTTTATTTGTCTGTTTTCTTTTCATTTACGGTATAATTATAGTATAGATAACAAAATGAGGAATGGATCACTCAGGGTCAATATTGGAGCATTGGAGCAAATGTTCTACTCTCGCAGAAAGTCTGTTCATCTAATTGTGCCAAAGTCCCTAGATTCTTAATGCATGAACTTCCTCCGTCCACCTCCCTCAATTTAGGCCAGGACACGAATAGCAAGTGTATGTTTTTGCTTCAGCTAATGGATGCAGACTGCACTTGAAATGCTATTTACGTCTATTGCGGTACCCCAGAGGGATGATTTCGAATCTATGAAAAACAATCATGATTAAGTGGTAAATTTAGTTAGGAAAACACCCCTCAGCTAATACGTAGTACATCTCCAGTTTAGTACAAGTAAACCGAAAAGGTTGCTAAGAAACCCCTCGGCGAAATTCATTAGACATTTCCATTTGAGCGGTTCCTTTCAATTAGTACCGGCATCAAAGTCCAACGACCAACCCTTCAGGCGCAGATATAATAGATTAAAAATTTGTGCGCAATAAAATCATAAAATATCTACTTAGCTGGAAACACGAAAGATTATTAGAGACTTTATAGCCTGAGGGGCGAAAATGAAGCGATCTTTGCACCCGAATAAGGCCGCTGGGTTTATTTACGATCGATGCGGGGTATAAATGAGATTGATGAAAGACAAATAACTTGTTTATAGGTTTCTTTGGATTGACTTTAATCTAGTTGGAGCTGGCAGTAAACAAGGCAATCAAGAATTCTATTGAATGAGCTAGGGATTTAGAGACGAAGGTCAGTCGGTCAAGGAATGGGCCTAATTTTTTGAGACTGAGCAAGTAAGGTCACTTGGGTTTCTTCATTGGAAAGTGATTATGAGGTCTTATCTAAGGAATTGCTCAACTTGCAGCTCATATAAATCAATCACAATAAAGATATTTGACTTTGAACCTTCTCCCAGACAGTAACCTCTATACCCGTACTCGAGGACGCTGATTGGTCAACTTTAAGAGAGTTCAGAACGCCTATGCTTGCGTGGACAATCGATATTGTAGAGTTTATTAGTTAGTTTTTTTGTTTTTTATTAGTCATTAGTTTTAGTTTAGCATCCTAACATCCCCCCCCCGCACTTAAAAATTTGTAAACCTCCAAGTCTCCACTCACCCTGATCAATCAGATCGTCCTCACTATCAGCCAAATTGTTCTTCAAAATGTACAGTCGACGTATCAAGTCGTTCAGTTGCTCATCTGACAAAACCGACAGATCTGAAACCATGTCAGTTTTAGAAAAATCGATATATCGATCAATTCACCATGCAAAAGTTTCTCTAATTAACCTGGATTCTCTTCGCGAACAATTCGTTCGATGTATTCTTCTACAGTGGGATCCATACTGATATCAGCAGCGTTCAATTCTGTGATAGGCAAAAGATCGATAATGTGTGAGTGCGAAAAAATCGATAAATTGATTGATTATCCAGTTTGCTTTTTAATTAACGTCACAGATTCGTCAGAGATATTGAACTTGCAGAATTCAAATGCTGAGTTTGCTGCACCAATTCATGCCTACGATAATCCTTCATCACAAATGATCTTGAATTCAGGTTAGCCAGCGTCTTGTGCAGTTGCACACAAAGATCAGTTTGAATGCCCACTCGAAATTAGCTTGATACAAGACTATACGAAAGAGGAATGGTTGTGCAATGTGTGCAGCTGCACAAACGCTGCCCGAATATTGCCAGGCGCAGCACACCATCACGCAGCTACAGTAATCCAAAATTTGACATCTATTGAAAAATCAAGTACTGGCCTATGCTAAAAAGCGGTCACAGCCATTGTAAAAATTTTACTTTGGGAGCAAAGTTCCCTTTGTCAGGTTTTTTTCTTTCATACTCGAAAAAACTTGCGCCTAACTGACGGCAGATCGCGTCACTTAAGCTACGTTAGTCAACTATCATTTTTCTTGCGTTGATAACTGCTTTTGAGGAAATTGCTTATGATGTCTCGATTTGCGTGATTCAGTGAAAATTTAAAATCTATGAATGACATCATATTGCATGATATATGCTGGCGAGAATTTGCGTCCGCCAAAGCGCAGATAATGGATTTGTGGTGGCGTAAATAATTTGTAGCGTAAATGAATTTTTCAAAAATGCGAGAAAGAGGTGAATAGCAGTGACAATATGTACAAAAGGGTCAAATATCAAGTTCTCCAGTAATTTTGCAGAGTATAGGAATCGATGTCTGTGTTCAAGTTTTAGGTTGTGGACATTGGAGGAAAAATTACCAAAAATTTCTTAAAGTTAAAAAAATTCTGTGGCCTTTGCGATTTGAGAATTTCCCCACTTGAGATTGAAATGTTATTAGAAGATCTGCTATCATCTGCTTTATTAGGTTGATTCATAAGTCTTGCACCAAAAAAAGGTAAAAATCTACTTAGAAATTGCTTTATTTAAAAAAACACACTAAGTATAATACTTTAATTAACTAGTATATTGGTAATCTTTTCATAACAAAATCCAGAAAGTCGAGTCAAAAAGTCTAGAATCGTAAGTATTGCTAGAAACATCAAATCACTACTTTTTCACGGTTTAAAAAAATAAGTTGCAGAACAAAATTGGAAAGCGCATGATTTTTTTTCAACCTATAAACTTGAACACATTCCTTGAAAGGAACAAATAGTTACAATTTTTTAAGAACCTTTGTTGTGATATTTACGAATGAACCCAATAGTTTGCTGTTACGACCTCTATATGAACAATAGCAGCTTGAATTCAAGCTAGCAAGCATCGTTCTATCCTCGCCATATACAGTAATATGCTACAGTAATACAGTAATCTTACGTGAATTGGCAAGGGATCTTCTCTAACCCCAGGTGCATAGCGTCATATGAGAAATTTTTCCTATCTGCTTAAGCTAGAGCGCATCACAAAAATTGCTTGAAAAGGGTTTACCGTACCCGCTTTTTTCAGGGCAGGTATGGTAACGCTGGGCAAGCTACAGATGCAAGAAGACCAAGACTTTAGAAGTCTTTGGAACTGCTTGAAACATTTATTTCCCTTTTTTCTCTCATGGATTGGAAAAGAATGTATTAGGTTGTCCGGAAATTAATGCCCGTTTTGAATTTCAACCGCAATAAGTCATACACTTCTCATTTCTAAATAGGTTGACTCGATAGAGCAAAGCAAGCTCTACAAAATGGCTTTCTTGCTTTTGCAACAGCTCTCACCCACCTCGAGTTTTGAGCCAAAAACTAAAAAGACTCAGCAGCCCTAAAAATCGAAAAAAATCGTAACTTAGTTCATAAAAATCCTACAAAAATTTTTACTTGCTCACGTAAACACTATCCACATGAAACATCTATATACGCCTTTGCCGCATTTTTTTCTCTGTTAGAAACCAAGAAAACGGAAATTTTCGTGCATTTGCCAAAGTGATGCTGAGCCATCCCCACATAGGCAGTTGTACACCCCAAGCCCGTAGAGGTACAGACTCAAATTTTCAGCTCTCTACAAGCTTTAGTTCTCGAGAAATACCGAATATAGCTTCCCTAGTTAGGTGGTCCAAGCTAAAATTCAAATTTCTCGAAAACTAAAGCTTGCAGAGAGCTGAGAATTTACGTTTGTACTTCTACAGGTCTGTAGTTTAGAACTACTTATGTGGGAACGGCACAACATCACTTTGGCAAATTCATGAAAATTTTCGTTTTCTTGATTTCTAACGGAGAAAAAAATGTGGCAAAGGCGTATATAGATGTTTTATGTGGATAGTGTTTACGTGAGCAAGTAAGAATTTTTGTAGGATTTTTATGAACTGAGTTACGATTTTTTTCGATATTTCGGGCTGCTGAGTCTTTTCAGGTTTTGGCTCGAAACTCGAGGTGGGTGGGAGCTGTTACAAAGCAAGAAGGCCATCTTGTAGAGCTTGCTTTGCTCTATCGAGTCAACCTATTTAGAAATGAGAAGTGTATGACTTATTGCGGTTGAAATTCAAAACGGGCATTAATTTCCGGACAACCTAATATAACTACCCTTATGGAAATCGTCACAGAGGTGACGTTTTATGAGCTCACAAAGTCGTATTCACGGACTGCTTCATAGATTATTTTCTTGTCAAACTTTCGAAACAGTAACAGAACCTGCGCAACCTGCTAAGCTGCTTTGCCAGCACGAACGTAGGATTAAATGTCAGAAAAGAGAAAGAAAGCAGTGCTATAAACAATTTAGAGTTATACTTAAAATGAGGGAAATCTTGAGAAGGCACTCAAAAAAACTTTGTGATGGTGATAAACGTTCTTATTTATTTCGAAGCGCAAGGAAACGAACTCATCAAAATAAAAAAATTTTTGAGAGGTTGCAGAGTGGGCTTTTTACCAGTCAGAAACAGTCTGGAAGCCTCGCAAATGAGATTTTCATCGCAATACTATCTTATTTCAAAACGAATAAGAAAAAAATTCCCCGGAAAAGAGTGATGTTGCTTGCACTGGTAAAACTCAAGTGCAGATCTTTGTAGCAGAACAAGGAATTTAAATATAGTAAATTTACCAGTAATAATTAGACACAAAAAACAAGAATTTTTTCAAAATTTTGTTTAGATTTTGCCATTCCCTGTTTCACCTACAAGCAGCATTTACTTTTCAATTTCTTTGCTTTTCAGCGTTATTTTGGAATGGATTTGTCGCCACTGAAAACGGATTTGTCTGCTATTTGACATTTTCAATTTTACGCAAAAGCCGTTTCAGCTTGATCGGTGCCTTTTTATTCTTTTATTCAAGCAATGTATCATATGTAGATGTTAGAAAAACGAATGTCCACGCTCGAAGACTTAAACGCCTCATATTGGAAAAGAAAGTATATGTCCCAACCCACTTACAGCGACCCTTTACCTCCTACCCCTGTTACCCCTTAGTTCACTTCACTGATATTGAATTCTATGGTTTTCTTCTATAAACTCTTGCTATGATTGAAAGAATCAATATATCGATCCACTAACCATCGATGTCTAACTGTGGTGGTGGTCCCTGAATTCGCTCCAAAATGTTCTGGATATCTTCTTCTGGTGCAGCATCTGCCGCAGTTTCGGTGTCAACCGTCTCTTGTTGAGGAGTATCAACTCCTTGTTGTTGTTGTTGTTGTTGTTGTTCTAGCGGTACTATTCCGTCTACGGTACCATCAGTTTCGCTTCCGGGAAGTATGGGCTGAAAACGGTATGGCTTGGGTTACGGTAGATTGTGTAAATAACAGAGCGTCCAAGCAAATTCTTCCCCAGGTTTTTACGTGGAAGTTGCTTGAAAGCCCCTAAGTAAGCCATTGCCTAAATGAGCAACTCAAGTAACTCACTGGCGGCAGAGAAAACCAACTCTCGCCCACTACCGTACTCCATGCCCGACTGCGCTTTCGGATACGGTATTGGGCGAGACTTTGAGATTGATTTTCTCGATTGTTAGCGAACCATATAAGATGCCGCTTGGGCAGGAGCTTCTTTTTGATCTCCCACTATCAGCACAAAAATTTTCAAAGGATGAAAAAGACTCACCACTTCCTTGACCTCATCGACAATGATTTGATCATTACTGTCATCAACTGCATTTTCGTCATTTGAATAGTTTTCACCATTTTGGTCACTTTGCTCAATACCCGACAAGTCATTGCTGCCAACTTCATTATCGTTCAAACCCATTTCGATCAACTAGAAAACCATCTTTTGGACAAAAAGCTACAGTACAGCTACAGTACCTGTATCAAAGCCCAGATATTTGCTGGATTTCGTACTTGACAGAAATCTGGATCGTACTGTAATCCATAATACATGGATAGCTTGAAGTAGGAAAGCACACATTGTGAGCGTTGATCTGACCAATTAAGGTCTTGTTTTGCCAATCTGCAAAGAAAAAAATCAATAAATCAATAAGACAACTACATCAGAAATGAATGCGATTATCGAATGACTGACTAACATACCTGGTAAGTTCTAGACGTAGTAATTCCAATTGTGTGTCATCTAGATGATCTATTACAGTAGGTGTAGGTGCGCCGCTATTTGGCGAGTAACACTGTCCGAATACGCCATCTGCAAAAAATCTATTATTGATTGATTATGCTCCGCCCACTTTGGGAGCATGAGAGCACATCGAGTTTCTTTACAATGTTTGAACTTTTATTTGGTAATTTTCAGCATAGAATACGGTAAGTACGGTATAGTAATGGATCAGTTTTGCAATCAGTGCTCGCTCATGTTTTTTTTTGGGAAAAAAATTTACATTTTTGAATTAGATTTATCCGTAGCAAATTTATCAAACTCACCTCCGCCATGGTTCCCTCCTTCTCTCCCCCTCTCAAAAGTGCTCTGCAAAGCAATATCTAGTATACGGTATCCCTAATTATTTTCTTTTGCACCCCCCCCCCCCATCTTCCTACATATTGTTAGTGCAAATGTAGTTCTTTTCATGCTATAAATTCCATTCTGAGACAATGTAAATAGATTAACGACGAAGGGGGGGGGGGGATTGACTGCAAAGGGCTGGGTAATGTAACATATATTCTAAGGTTGTAGTGTCATTAAAACAACATTTAGTAGGTTTGTCATGCACATATTTTACACCCTTCTTCTCACCCCTCCCCAGTCTAACTTCGCCAAAATTTTTATCCTCTTACTTTATTGAGTGATATCATGGTTTTAGTACTCAAAAAATTGTTTATAGCACTCAACTTAAGGCTCTCACCCAGAAAGGTACCCTTGACTTATGACTTCTAATCCCGCTGCTCATAAAAATACTTTTGAAAAAAGGAATAAATTACTCAGACAATTCACCGGAACAAGCAAAATTTGTAGCGGTTCCGCAGGGTTTTGTTTACTATTGCAAAAGTGGAAACGTTGAAAACGGGAACTTCCGCAGCACGTTCACGGAACTTTCGCAGTCACCGGCGGAACTTTTCCAGACGTTCTGTGGAAGTTCCGGTCAGTTGTTTGGGTAAAAGGAACTTCCTAATATTTTTTTCAGTAGTTCTTTCAGTGAACTATAAACTTAATTTAGAAGCTCTACTTCGTTAACATTTTCTTGTATTCCAGTTAATTCAGGCTGAATTTGTAGTGCACAGCGACGTCACATCGCCAACCCCCTAGGGTCCCTTTAATTGAATACAATGAGTGAATTTCCGTCACTGACGTATCAGGGCTATTTTTTTCTAATTTCATTTTCTTCGCTACCCTCTTTCATGCGTAGGCTTGAGTGTGATGGCGACTGTGAACGTATTTCTAATAGCAGCTCAATGGCGCGTTATACGTCAGAAGTGCAGCTTTCTTTCGTTAAGTAAGCACAGCGATGAGGTCATTACTCGCTAATTCACGGGATAATTAGTACGAATCGCGCGATAATTGAGCGGAAATTCTGAGGTATGAGTAAAAGAAATTTCGACTGAGCAGAAAAAAAAAACAAAAATTTTTGGCGATTAATGTGAGTGAGTTTAAGTTACGTTGAAAGTGATCACTGTCAGCGCCGTTAAACGCAGTTCCAACTCCGTTCCAATGCTGTTCCAGTTCTGCTCCACTGGAGTGCCAGCGCTGTGCCAGTGCCGTCTTGTCGAACTGCTCAATCGATCGATACCGTGCGCTCTATTTGGATTGAAGCACGAAGCCGCAGCGGCGCTGGCACGGGCTGGAGCTTGACTTTAGATAGTTCATTTTTTTTATTTTGAATTTGTTTTCCGGATGCATGTTTATACAAATTTTCAGTCGTAAAGTTGTTTATATGAGATTGAGGTTCGATGTCACCTGCATAGTTTTTTAATTGAGTTAGCTTTTCTATGTTATGCTATTGTCCACTGAACGCACGTCTTGGATAAATAAATGATTTGGATAGATTAAATGTCTTTGAAATTACAAAGACTGAAACCTGTTTTCTCTGGCGTCAATCAATATATTGATTTTTTGACACACAGGAGATGACACGCGCTTCGTCAATATTAGCAATATAGTTGAGTGCACTCATGTACGTCGCAAAATTTCTATGGCCCTCGAAGGATGTGTTGGCAAACAAAAGGCCCAAGAGCATTGAAAAATGAACACATGGAACCAGTAGAATTCAGTTGGAATGCTGGTTTTCAGGAAGAGCAAAAAATTAAGTTTGGTGCAATTGAAAGCATACGCGGAGGATGTTTTTTTCGACATCGCACTTATTCTCAATAAAAAAAACCCGTTTAAAATTTTACACCTAAGTGACCACGTGCTTGTAAGAATATAAAGATGATTGAGTGTTTTCATTCATGCACTTATGGTATGTTTTTGCGGCTAGCGAATAAAAGCTAAGTGGCGATAGAGATAGCGAAAAAACTCAACTTCAACTAATCAGCTTCGATTCAATTACTTGACTAAGATTTTTACGTAAATTACATATTACAGAAATGATGTACAGTTGTTTTCAATACGTGTTGGTATTTTCTACCGTATGCCTTCCAGCCTCAACATGACGTGGATTTTGTGGATTGGTGTGGATTGGTGCTGCGCCGCCGAGAAAAGCAACGCGGCGCAAACCCGAAGCGATGCGGCGCCTCACCAATCCATACAAATCCACACCAATCCACACCAATCCATACCAATCCACACCAATCCACACCAATCCAAGTCATGTTGAGGCTGGAAGGCATACGGTAGAAAAAACCAATACGTATTGAAAACGACTGTATATCATTCATTCTCCGACTAAGAGACCCGAGCACGCTTTGCGTACATTCCATTAACAAGTTCATGAATGAGTTCTAACGCGTTGTAGCTGATTACTATCAGGAATTTGTGAAAGAATGTGTTCAAGCCACCGTGGATTAACGAGCTCAAACATGTTCTTTTACAATTCTAATGGTAAATCAACCAAAACGCGTTAAAACTCACTCATGAACTTGTTAATGAAATGTACGCAAAACGTGCTCGTGTCTCTTAGTTAGAGAATGAATGATAGATTGCTATTTGAGCATGCAACTAAATACAGAAACAGAAGTTACAGTAATCCGGACTTTAAAATTTTCCAATGCACATGAAATAATTCGCAAGTCCTTGAATTAGTGAAATATATATTAAAAACAGTAATGAAGAGAGGAAAGCTTACGAAACGACACTACATTCAATGGTTATGATTTATTGGTGGTAGCTTACTAATAATTCATTTTCGGTCGTAGGTAAGCCAGGAAGTACATAATTTTTTTGCAGTAAATTCAAAATATTATTCTTCACTGAAATTATATTTTTAGAAAGTTCTGGTTTTCTGACTAGATTGAAGATTTATGTTGAAGAACAAATTCTCTACGAGAGAGAATGACTTACCCGGAAAGCACTGCTCGTCGTTTTCACATAACGTGTCGGTGAGTGTGCAGCCTGTAATTACACCATATTGAAAAACATTACAGTAAGCCATCTCCAATGTATAATTTTTCGAGAATTCATTGGTCATTCGTGGTTTACAATTATTCTACATTCACCCTACAGTACACTTCGTAGACATTTCAACTCCAATTCCAATGATTATAGCAGGATTTGTAGCATTTCCATTCCCAGTACATATTTTCAGGTATACGTGATACAGCAAGCATACCGTAACGCTACAGTATGCTTGCAATTGCACAAGTCTCCCAATTTTAATATTTTATATCGGCTTTGAGGCAGCTAATCACTGCATTGATGACGACAGATTCCCAAGCTATGGCGTCATCGCCCCTTTGGCATGAAAGCGGAAGCTCGTCCATCAACGCAAGCGTCCCAAAATTAGCCACATCTCCAGTGGCTATAAACGGACACTCAAGGGAGATGCGCGCAATTTGAAACTTTCTTCTTTGCATTACGGAAGCTGGTCGGAGTCATTTTTCTTACCCGGAAGGGGAGGGGGGAGGAATTAGAGATAAAAGCAAAGTAGAGATTGCTGTAGTAACGAGCACTTGCAGATATAATCTAGCAAAGCCGTGCATTTAGTGATGGCAGGTGCAGTTGCACTTTTACGTAGAAAAAAAATGTTAGCATTCTAGACAAAGCAACCATTCATCATATGCAAGCACATAATCATGCCATGCTGTCCTATACTTGGCTGCAGTGTGCAGAAGAAAAACTATTCGAGAGCAGGAAGGGGAGGGGGGGTCTTAAAAAATAGGACGTGGGATTCGGGAAAAGAGTGCAGTCATTTCGAACAATTTATTTTGCCTCTAAAAGACATGGGAATTGAAAAATGTAAATCTATTCTGAAGTACCCTAATTCCCATATGATATATTTCAAGGGCTTGACAAAAAAAAATCAAAAATCAATCTAGTGCATCCTATAGAGGATTTTTATGAATCTTTTTGACTGTCTCAAATTCTTCTTCGAAAAATTGTTTGTCCAAAAGTGGCTGTTTTCTAAAAGTATACAAAACGGTTTTTTTTTCAAATTTTACCTTAATAAGTTGAAACTAGATAGCAATGAGATTTTTTTAAGAATTATTAATTATTTGATAATTTTTGCAATAGTACAAAATCAATGATTACATAAATTCGTTCTGGGGAAAATTTGCTGAAAGCTGGCCCTACCCTCCCTAACCCACACCCTCCTCTCTCTCAATTCCGCGGTACCAAATTTGTTTTTCAGTTCTTGATCTCACAAAATCTGCGAATAAGCTGGGGATAACCACTGAGTCGTTACTATACGAATATCTAACTTACATGCTTCAAGTTGTTGATCAAAAATCTTTTCGAACCTGTTTTTCTGTTTTTCTTCTACTTAATGAGCATTAGCTATACGAAATCAAGCAAAGCTTGGCTGCGTGTGTGAAAACAAACAAAGAGGACTGATATTGTTGTCAAGGATGGGTTTTTTGGTTTGAAAAAGTAGATAAAAATAAAAATTTTGGAATTTTGTGCAAGGGTTTCCTTGTCAATATGCAAGCGCAGAGCAATACTCAATGAATCAGAAATGTTGGACATTTTTTAGCTGTCAAAAAATAAGCTATGATATAAGTTTAGTCAAAAATTGTGAATCATGAACTACAACACCATCTATCCTTCTTACTTCCTTATCAAAAACAATTATCGTTTTTCATGAAGATTGCCATCCTAAAAATAATAAGATAAGAAGATATGTTTTTGACTACTAAAAAGCGCTTGTTAAGGAATTCTGATTAACCTTATTAGTAATCAGCTTCTATAAACTCTCCCCCCCCCCCCCTCTTTCCTATATCTTTAAATCCCTGTAAGCGCAAAAATTGAACAACCGGCAGATTTTTATTCCTATAGAGCCTTGTAATGTCAGGTGATGCTAATTATCGCAGAGTTTTGCTTTCATGAGAAAAAAAGGTCAAGGGAACTTAATGAGTAGAAAGTAGTACGAGTAGAAATCCCCCCCCCCCCACCTCCCCTCCCCCCCGCTTCCTCCTCCTGTGCCATGGTAACTTATAATAGAATTTGAGGGAAAGGGGGGGAGAGTAAAATGCAGAATTGTTGTCATAATTGTTAATGAAACTTTTGCACATATTTTCTATAAATTTCCCCTCTCCCACGTTTCCCTAGATGGCACGGACCTAATCATATTACCCATGTCCCCTCCGCTTCCACTCTTCCCCCGCACTATCCCTCCTTCTCATTCACTTCTCGTCACGTAAGCAATCCCTATAGCATGAATGTATGTAAACACTATTCACACTGCAAATGACGTGGGAAAGAAATGTTGCATAGAAACGAAAGTGATGTCAACTATGAGGGGTTTCGTGTGCTATAAAGTTTTTTGTTTATTATAAAAAAATATTATTGGAATACATGGCTTATAAGGTATATGCTCGTAGAGAAAAGTACAGCTGGATTTTTATAATCTAGGAAGACGTAGCTGGGTTGAAAGTGATTGGCTTAGCGAGTTAAGGATTATTAAAAATTTGAATAATTTTCAAAAAATGCTTTGCACATAAATTCACAAGAATCTCATTTCTTGCATAAAAAAGTGGAATTTTGGTGAAGTGAATATTTGTGGCACATCGGGCCAAAGTGATGTAAAATCAAATGGAATAAAAAAATAAAGTTTAATAAGATTCTAAACCAATGTTATTCATCACAGCAGAATGCTCCAACGCTCTAACAGCCATTATTTGTTCTAAATATTTCAAAATGCTTCTACCTTCTACCTGCAATGATAAAGTTAATCCCAAATTCTTTTAGTTTTTGGTTCAAACAAAAAGGTTTCAGTTGAAAATTTTTACGCACCTGATTGAATTGGATTCCGTTTCCTTGTGAACTCAGAAAATTAGGACTTAACAGAAATTATAGAACTTAAGTTGGAATTTGAGGAAAGCGATATACATTCCCAACTTTCTCAGGAATTCGCCGCCTTCCTCCTCCCCCCTCCTCTGAATTTGCTAATACTTTCTCAACGTTCAAAATTGCTCTTTTTTGTTAGTACATGTGTGTAACAGATAGTGCCAAAAGTCCTCAACACTTGTCTTCAAGTGCGGAAAGTCTAGGAGGCAATTTGATACTAGCCTTTGGGAGAAAGGGCCATAAAGAAAAGCAAGCAACTTTAACAGGGGGATACTAGTCAAAAAAGTTCAGGAGTACGACATAGCCTACATATGCTGGAAAAGTGTCGTTGTAATTATGGTCACTGACATTTTTTAAATGACGATTTCAAAGCCCTTGCGAATTAATCTCAAAAAAAAAACAGTGCGCCCATGTTGAAAATATTCTCTTTTTGGTCCTCTCAAAAACCATTTTCTCGAAATCTGCGCCATAACAATGCCCCCCCCCCCCTCCCCAGTTTTTTTCATTCAACCCCATTCTAAAAAAAGGCTAAGTAAATCTTCATACTCCAGATTGTTGGCCTTAGGGCACGCGATTCCTCGTCATTCTATTCCGGGATACTTCGCGTTCCCATGATGTCATATGGAGAGGCAGAGAACTCTTAAATTACGGGGCACAAGCTTAGTCTCTTTGTCCACTGACATCACTTGGCATATTTTTGCGTTTCATGGGCTTTTTGGAAAGGAGGGGGGGGGGGGGTAAGAGACTATGGGCCTACTTGTCACTTAGAATAGTGTAAATGATGGCGCAATAACAATCTATTATGCAAAGCAAATGCGTACGCTCTACGTCATCAAAGAGAATGGAGAGCCAAGGATGGGGGAAGGGCGAAGAGTGAAGGGGAGGGGGGGGGAAGGGAGGAGATGAGGGAAAAGGGAAGAAAAGAGAAAAACAAGAAATGTTGCATGACCCCATAACGTTTTTATGAGATGTCAACCTGGTATTTTCTTTCGTTTTTTCTTCTAAGGAGGGTACTCTTATTTTGGATATTTTTGTTTCGTTTTAGAAAATTTTTTAGCTTCTCCCTCCCCCCCCCCCTCCCCTCCCGACTAGTCTCATTGCTCGGTCCGTCCCATAACGTCATAATTGAGATAACAGGAATAGGATAGCCCCTAATGGAGTGATGACGTCCATGCTGAAATTTTCTATTTTGAGCGAATTGTCTGGAATTTTATTACTGTGATGAAATCTGAAAATTCTGTAGCGAGAAACTTCTGTTTATTTCAAGGTCTGAACAATGGATTTTGGTTCCAAATGCCTTATCCAATTTATTTTCAGGAAAAAAATAATTTAGGCTAATTTGGTGCCCTCCTTTGCTTGTGCCTTGTTCCAAAACCATGGAGGATGTGCATTAATCAAGATCTCCTCCTGGCAAATTGAATATCGAAAACTTGAGCCCTAGGGGGGAAGGAGGAGAAGCGGGTTTTGTACACTGTATAATAGAAAGCATGCAAAACAAAGAAGATGGGGATGCGATTTCGTTTTTTTTAGCTTTTTTTTCATTTCAAAAATAAGTGCCACTTAATGTTAAAAATATGCATGAAGCTACCTTACTGAAAAGATTTTACAGCAAAAAAATTCCTTTTGCTGAGAACTGTCAAAATATGCAATTTAGTCGTATGTTACGTAAAATCTTCGGAACGTGTAGGGTTTGGAATTTTATTTTCACTGAATTTGAGAATTTTTCTCGCTTATTTTTTACTATCGCTAGTCTTTTTAAGAATTTTTATTGTATTTTTCAAACTTCATGATCTTGATTTTTGCAGAAATTTTCGAAAAACATTCTCTTATGTGTGAACGCATAAAATAGAAGATTTCTGAAGCTATTATTGAACATAAGACCCTATTTGCGATCACTCCAAAACCCCAGCGAAACAGATATTTTGAGGCTGAAACGGAACGGGCATTTTTGACAAATTTCATCGATAGCTGCGCCATTTCGATGAATAGCGAAATAGCGAAACGAATGTGAGAAAAAAACACGCGCAAGCACCAGCATTTCGGGCGCTATTCGCTCTTCGTGCTAGGACTTTTTTGCGCTTGACTGGTCCGGCTGCAGTCATTTATTG